GGGGGGGGGCGGGGAGAGGGTACCAGGAATCAAATTCAGGACCTTGTGCTTGCTAGGCAGGCATTTAAGCCACTGAGTTATCTCCCCAGCCCCTGGGCAACTTAGTGACAAGCAACACTGTCTTACAATAAAAACCTTTAGAGGCTGAGGATATAGCTCTGTGTAAAGGCCCTGGATTCAAGTTCTGATACTGGGGGAGGAGAGACATAACAAGGCATCTATGTATATGAAGTGCTTTTGCCCCAGTCATATACCCAAACACTTAGGAGAAATTTATCAAATGTTCCTCTTCATATCTTTACATTGATCCTTCAAAACAATGTAAATTGGGAAAATAACACACACCATTTCGGGAAGATTAAAGAAAATTTACTTAGTGGACAGGGAGATAAGATAGCTCAGTGGTCTAAACACCTGCCTGGCAAGCACAAGGACCCAGGTTCGATCCCTGATACCGCATGCTGTGCAGACCCAGTTCAGAGCTGACCACTGAAATCAGGTGTGGTAGCACACCTCTAATCCCATTGCTGGAGGGGCTGTAACAGGAGGATCACTACAGGTCTGCACTGCATAGCAAGACCCTGTACCAAATAAATAAAAGGAAAAAAAAAAAGTAGAAAATTTCCTTAGCCAAAATTTCTATAGCACTTATCCTGTAATAGACTCATTCTATTCTACAAACATGGGGACCCCCAGATCCAGCCCAGCCTAGGCCCGGTGAGCATGTGGGAGAGCTTCTGGCTTCCCTGCACCCGCAACCCCTCACACCAAAACTCAGGCACCCGCGTGAGCGAGACCCTCTACCGCACCATTGGGACCCCTGCAACCCTCCAGAGCCCCCGCCCCCAAGCCTGCCGAGGAAGAACTTCTGTGACTCTCTCAGGACCCCCAGATCCAGCCCAAGCCCAGACCCAGCTAGTGTGTGGGAGAGCTTCTGCCCTCCCCTGTGCTCCCTGGGTCAGGAGCACAACAGGGGGCACCACAGGTTCACTTCCAAGGGCTGCAGCAGGAAGGAGCTGAACACAACAGCTAGACCCAGGCCAGGTATAACTGGATCAACAAAAACTTAATACATCTGCACTCGAATTTCAATAGGTGCTAAGGTTATTAAGTGCACCAAAGCTCTACACCAAAGGTCAGAGGTCAGTGCTATAAGAAATGACAAAGACAAGGAGCAAAGCGCAATCTCAGGCCTTGAGGCCACCCATAACAAGTGCAGAGGACACTAGCTCAGCTGAAATGAATGAATTAACAGCGTAGGAAGTAAAAGAAACAGGGACCAGGGAGATAGCTTAGTAGAATAAGTGCTTGTCTGGCAAGCGCAAGGGCCTGAGTTCAATCCCCGGTTCCACAAAAAAAAAAAAAAAAAAAAAAAAAAAAAGGAAGTAAAGAAACAACAGCAGAAAGGTAGAGAGGAACTCTGAGCAGAATTTCTTTCTTTCTTTCTTTCTTTCTTTCTTTCTTTCTGTGTGTGGCCAGCTTAGCCCACCAGGGGGCGGGGCTGGCTGGCATGTGGTGCTGGGGGATTGAACCGTGGTCCCTGTGCTTTGCTAAACTTGTTCTAAGTAGGTGCTTTAGACCACTGAGCCATCTCACCAAACCCAGAATTAATTTCTGAAATAAAAAAAGAAATTTGAATTCATACCATCTGAAAAATCAAATACAGAAACATGGAGGAAACCAAATCTGAAAAAAACTCTACAATAAAAGAGTAACTGCTTATAAATAAGACATTGATTAAAAAATAGAGATTAGACGGGGCTGGAGAGATGGCTCAGTGGTCTAAGGCACCTACTTAGAACAAGCTTGGCAAAGCATCAGGGACCGGGGTTCAATCCCCCAGCACCACATGCCAGCCAGCCCCGCCCCCTGGTGGGCTGAGCTGGCCACACACACACACCACACTCACTCTCTCTCTCTCTCTCTCTCTCTCAAATAAATAAAAAATAAAAAAAAAGATGCTATTTAATTTAAAAAAAAATAGAGATTAGAAAAATGACGGATTCCTTGAATGAACAATACAGGAAGGAAATAGATCGCATGATGCAGAGTCAGAGATATAGAGGAACTTAAAATCTCAATCACAAGCCTGCAAAACCGTTTGAGTGAAAGCGAAGACAGAGTTTCAGATCTTGAAGACGCTGGTGCAACTAGTGAAAAATTAAGAAAGGATCTCTCTCTTTTTTTTTTTTTTTTTTTGGTAACCGGTGATTGAACTAGGTCCTTGCGCTTGCCAGGGAAGCGCTTATTCCACTGAGCCATCTCTTCGGCCCAAGAAAGGATCTCTTAAAAACTAGGATGCAGGAAAAAATACCCATCACCTGTAAGCCCATGCAAAGATGAACAATGCAAGACTAATAGGCATCAATCAGAAAGATGGAGTCAGTATTCTACAAACATGCTGAAGCCTCACAACAGCTCTATGGTGTGGGTTCTGTTACTTTTATTTTGCAGGTGGGAGAGGTAAGGAGCACAGAACTTGGAGGTTCCCAGCCATACCTGCCAGGATCTGGAGTCAAACAAGAGCAGGCCTGTCGCAGTCCAAACTGCTCTGCACCGCCTTGCGCAGCCTCCCTAATTTAGCCACTTCATCAGCCTCTGCTCTGGTGAGGGCTCCACCATCAGTCGCTAACGGTATCATCGGTTTGTTTGGGTTTTTTTTTACCCCAGCATTTTAGTACAGGGTGTACAGGGTCTCACTACATAGATCCCACGCATAGTGATTCTCCCGTTTTTTGCCCCACAAGCGCTGGGATTACAGGCAGGCACCACCGTGCCCAGGGGCCGGCACAGCACGCCAAGAATCAAATCCCGGCCGCTGCACTCTGCCTAAGCAGGCGCTTTAGTCCGCTGAGCTATCTGGCCAGCCCTCATCGAGTTACTTCGGTCGTACACGCCATTCTTCCTCTTCCAAGCACCTTCCCCAATCCCGAGTGTCACTGCATACCTCTCCCGCGGACCGCGCGGGTTTACTACTCTGAGCCCCTCAGTGCACGCCGACGTCCTCCCGGCCTCAAGGGCGAGTTGCTCCTCCTGGGTCTAGTGACCCAGCGACAGAAGATGAGCCTGGCGGTCCCCTGGCGGTCCCCACAACCTTGACACCTGCTGGGGTACGGAGGAACTAACTCCCTTGCTTCACGGAGGCTTCTCGGGGCAAAGGAGACCTCTGGACACCGGAGAGGAGGCGCGTAAGGCAGAAAACCAGGACTCCGAGAGCCTGGGCCAGGTGACGCGGTTTAACTGCAAATCGCAACATAACTTCAGCGACCAGCTCATTTAAAAAAAAAAACAACCCCAAAAACCAAACCAAAACAAAAAAACAGGGCGCCTCCAAGCCACACAGTAACTCGGCAGCTTCAGTTGTTTCTACCACTGCGAGAGGAAACGAAAGACCACAACCGCTCGTCCAGGGTAGTTTTCGGCTCTCGGACCTGCAGGTCGCCGGCTGCAGCTTAGACTTTTCCGTGCTGTGAGTTCTTGCTCCACAGATGCGGGAAGACCGCCCTCGCTCACTCTACAAACAGGCAACTGCACAGGGCTGGGGGAAGGGAATATCCCGAAGGGCTCTCAAGACCTTAGGGTCAAGCGCTGAGAGGGCTCACTACCTTTCACTTCCGGCACAACCGGCTCTCAGCTGACTCGGAGTCCTCTACAGCTGCAGCCCGCCGGAAGCCCCCGCCCCGGGTTCGGCGTGGAGCGCAGGGTTTTCCCATGAGCCTGCGCGACGGACTACAGCTCCCGGCATGCTCCGGAATTAACCCTCTAGGGCCGGGAGCTGCGCTGCGTTCCGCCCCCGCCCCTTACCGGACCCCGCAGGGTGAGTTTTGGGGGGCTAGGGAGGGCCTCTTTCCTGTAAGATTTAGGGTGTGGGTGTGTGAAGTGGGTTTATTATCTATAAGAGGTATGATTCCTTATTTTCAAAAAAATGGGACAATTTATAATGAGATTGAAACAGGAGACCTAGCATCACTCCCTGAAGCCCAGGTGGAATTACTGCGCCGTCTCCTTCAGAGTGCTGCCTAAGTCCTCCTCAGAACAAAAATACCCAGCACCTCCCCATTATTCAGCCCCCCCCCCACACACATTCCTCAGTGCCCCAGCAAGATTGTGACTTGGAGCCCGAGTCAGGGCTTTTTTTATGTCTCTGGTTGAGGGGCGAGTACTTGTCGTCGAGCGCACAGGAGTTCCCACATCCTTTTGGGTGAGAGGATATAGGCCTTTGTTTCCGCAAGCCCGCCCTTCCAGCCAGGTGCCAGGTCCAGCAAACACCCTGCTTTTTATCTGACTTGAATGACCATAGACTTGGGGAAAAGGTTTCTTTCTTGGAAGGGTGAGTGGTGTGTATTACACCTGATCCTTCTCTACACCCCACCCTTAACTCAGTACTAGATACAGGAGACAATGGGTGGTGTCATACTCACTGTTACTGCGGACACCTCCAGCCCCTGAGTGTGGGACCCGGGACTACAAGTATTGGAAATTATTAATTTTGGGGTCAACTACTCCCACTCTTCATGTACAGTCACCTATGAGGGTGGGGGGACTGCTTTAAAAAAAAATTCACTGTGTCCAGCCCTTTAAATTCACCCAATTCCACAAGCTTCTACCTGGGCTTTTTACAGTCTAAAGCTACTGGGTCCCCTCTTTGTCTCATCCCTATCTCAGTGTCACTGGCAAGCATGCTGTCCTCACCCAGGAAGTTAACCCCTCTGTTCTAATCTCTGGCTTTTCCCCTACCTCCAAAAGGAACATTGTACCAGCCAGCTTGTAGGGAGGAATGGACAGAGAGAACAAACCTTGAGGCAGGAGTCCTGAACCATAGGAGGCAAGGGGAGTGAAAGCAGGCAGCGTGTCCCTCTACCTTACTGCCGCCAACTGGCTCCCTGCCCCTGCTCCCGCCCCTTGACATCCCAGACTCCCTGGCTATTTAAACAGAGATGGGTGCCCCCATCGGCACACTGTCCTTTGGCCGCCGGACATCATGCCTCCCAAGAAAGACGTTCCTGTGAAGAAACCAGCAGGGCCCTCCATCTCCAAGCCTGCTCCCAAGCCAGCAGCAGGAACCCCTCCAGCCAAGACCAAGGCCGAGCCAGGTGTCCCTCAGGCCGCTGTGAAAACCCAGGAACCCCCTGTGGATCTCTCCAAAGTGGTGGTGAGTGCTGGGAGAGTAAGGAGAAAATTTGGAGGGCATGGATCAAGGGTGGGATACAGCCTAGAGAATGGGGAGTATGGTAGGTAAGGAATGGATGAGCACTAGAATGAGACTGGGGGTTCTTGCAATCAGGAGGCATCCATGTTTATGGTTCTGCTGTTGTCTTTGCTGCTCTCCCGCTGTAATTGAATATAAATCACACTTGCTGACCCATTGTTGGAGGCAAGGACTGTGAAATGGGGAACACCTGGGTTCTGGGGACAGTTTCAAGGTGGAGAGAGCTGCTGCCTGTCCCTGGCTGGCTGTTCAACTCAAAAGGTTGCAGCCCTGAACCCCAGGAGGGGAGGCTGAAGAGGACAGACTTGTTAGACAATCACAGCTGGGGACCAGGAGTAAATTTAGCCTTTGTTCAGCCCCCAGTTATGTGAGGGATGCAGGGCTCAGGGCAGTGGAGGGAGGGGAACAGGTGGTATGGGATTAACCCTGTTCCCAGGATACCCTCCCCCTATAATTCCTTCTCTTGGGATTCTCCCAGGACCTGGAGCTGGGAATGGGACTGAGGTGGCTGGACTCCCAGCCTGGTCTCTTTGGGCCTCTCCCCAGAAATGGCTGCCAATTGGTTGGGAGAAGTACTGGAGAGGGATTGAATAAGCCCTGTCATTTCTCTTCACCTGCTCTTTTCTTCCACAGATCGAGTTTAACAAGGACCAGCTGGAGGGTGAGGAGAAGCTGGTTGCCTAAGCCCACTGTCCAGTCCCACGCCCCTAGTCAGATCCTTTTTCAGTTCCCCTAGTGCCAGTCTCAACCTTGAAACCTCCCACGCTGTGCTCTTTTCCTCCCTTGTTTTACCCACCTCTGGCACATAATATCTGAACCTCCCTTCCTTATATCTCAGAGTTCAAGGAGGCCTTTGAGCTGTTTGACCGAGTAGGTGATGGCAAGATCCTGTACAGCCAGTGTGGGGACGTGATGAGGGCTCTGGGCCAGAACCCCACCAACGCTGAGGTGCTGAAGGTCCTGGGAAACCCCAAAAGTGATGGTGAGAGGAGGCTTGAAGCAAGTGGGTTTTGAGTTTCTTTTTGTAGTGTGGAGATCAAACCCTGGGCCTTGCTACCACTGAGCTATATCCTTAGCACTCAATTTTCTTTTCTTTTCTTTTCTTTTTTTCTTTCTTTCTTTTTTTGCGACAGGGTCTCACTGTGTAGTTTAGGCTGTCTTTGAATTCACCACAAGCCCAGGCTGGCTTCTAACTCACAATAGTCCTCCTGCCTCAGTCTCCTGAATGCTGGGATTACAGGTGTGCACTGCCATGCCCTGCTAGCATCCAATTTTCTTTCTTTCTTTCTTTCTTTCTTTCTTTCTTTCTTTCTTTCTTTCTTTCTTTCTTTTTTTTAGGTACTGGAGATCAAACTCAGGCCCTTAAGGGCTGGGGAGATAGCTCAGTAGAATAAGCACTTGCCTGGCAAGTGCAAGAGCCTGAGTTCAATCCCTGGTTCCACAAAAACAAAGAAAAAAAAACAACTCAGGCCCTTGGGCTTCCCAGATAGGCACTTATGCCACTGAGCTATCTCCCCAACCCTTAGCATCCAGTTTTCTTTTTTTTTTTTTTTTTGCGGAACCAGAGATTGAACTCAGGCCCTTGCGCTTGCCAGGGAATCACTTATTCCACTGAGCCATCTCCCTGGCCCTCCAATTTTCAATGGTAGAATATTGGTAAGGTTCTAGAGGATGCTAGGGTGGATCTCAGGACTTCAAAAACTGTCAGATGTGGCAGAAATACATTCTGAATGCTGAAGGGGATGAAAGCTCTGTGGTAGGAACTGAGTCCTAGCTCATACTCAGTGACCTCTCTCATTTATCAAACCTCCAGAGCTGAAGTCTCGACGTGTAGACTTTGAGACGTTCCTGCCCATGCTCCAGGCAGTGGCCAAGAACCGGGATCAAGGCACTTATGAAGACTACTTGGAGGGGCTTCGGGTGTTTGACAAAGAGGGAAACGGCAAAGTCATGGGCGCAGAGCTCAGACATGTCCTTACCACTCTCGGTGAGGCAGGGACCAGAACTCTTGTGGGTGGAGAATTGGGAGCGGACCAGGAAGAAGGACTACAAGGGAGGCAGGGCCAAGGAGAGGATTACTGCCCTGCAGGTCATGGTCAGGACACAGCTGTGAGGGAAGAGCCATGCACAACCCAAGGGATTTGTTCTTCCAGAGCTAGAATGTTCCCCAAAAGACAAAGGGAAGGGAGAGGTGGAAGCCCAAATTCTCAATTTGGGAGATACTTGTCTCAACCCTCTGCCTTCAGTTTCCTTGCCTGTCAAAGCTTTCACCACTTTAAAAGCACTCTGCTAATGCAGGTGATAGGGAAAGCAAGAGGCAGGGTGGGAGGAGAGGGGTGGCATTGGTAGATGTGGGAGGGAAAGCTGGGGCTCCACTGCTGTGTTTGGGGTTCAGGAGAGAAGATGACTGAGGAAGAGGTGGAGACTGTTCTGGCAGGACATGAGGATAGCAACGGCTGCATCAATTATGAGGGTGAGTGGTAGGAGCAGAAGGGTCGGGTTCATGGGGGGGGTGCGTGTGAGTGCGGGGAGCCTGGATTACCTACAGTCCGATGGGCTGTTCAAAGGTCTGCTTCTGAAGCCCCTCGCTCCTCTGCAGCCTTCCTGAAGCACATCCTAAGCGTCTGAGCACCACACGGGCTTGCCAGACCCTCACCTCACCTTGAGAGGCAAGTTTCCCGTATCAGCCAGCGCAGACATCAGGACAGTAAGTTTTCCTGTCCGAAGGCTGCACAGGCGCCAGAGCTTGGCAACTTTCATTTTTTTTCCACAGATCCTGTAGGTCCTGTCACTGGCTCCCCTCCCCCGGCAGGCAGGAGCACGTTCCTGCCACTAGGAGGCCACATATTGTTTCAAAATAAAGACATGGTACCTTCCTTGGTCTCTAGACTGTTTACTTCAGAAGGAGGTCAAGGGAAGGGGAGCTGCTCCTCTCAAATCCATACCCCGGGATTTCTTCCGTTAGAGGAACGCTTCCGGGCGTCCCACCCTACGCGGGTTCCAGGTTTCCACGCCCAGGTGCGCCGCTGCGGAGAGAGGAGCACAGCGGCCCCGCCCACCTCGCTAGTAGGTTGGCCGCTCGAACGCAGGAGCCCTGTAGGGCGCTCATTGGCTGGACCGTGGGTGACGTCATCGGACGTACTAAGACTAGGGCTGGGCTAGAAGTCGGAGCCATTACTGCAGGTCCGGTAGAGCTCGGCAGTCAAGATGGTGGGTCCAGTGCCTGGTGGATAAGGGGTTTCGGGGCGAGGAGTGGAGTCATGGGTAGCGGGCCAGGAGAAGAAAGGGGTGGGGAGAGGCAAAGGGAACTGGAGGGTCTGAAAGGTGGGAGGCAAGGTTGGAAAGTCTCGGGCCCGGTCCTGCTGGCAAGCGAACCCCAAGCCTGAAATAGGAGTTTGTGGGGCTGGGACAGAAGCTGGGTGGTCCGTGGCTGATCACTCCCTTCTTCTCTGGGCAGTGTGACTTCACCGAGGACCAGACGGCAGGTAGGATGTCTCACCCCGAGGTCACCCTTAGCTTGCGGAACACCCCTCTTCTACCTCCTAACTGCAACCTGTCATCTCTAGCCCCGCCGAGAGGGTACCTCCTGGATTCCATTCTCCCTAGGCCGTCCTGAGCCGGACGCATCGCTTCCATCTTTCTTTCTCATTCTTTCTTCCTTCCCCTTCCACTCTGGCTCTGAGCCCCAAGCACTGGGTGAGTTTTAGGTGGTGTGGGTGTGCGAAACAACTCGGCCATCTAATGTGTGCTGTGTGTGGGCTCCGGGATGGTCTTTTAAGCTCTGTGTGTCCCTTAATCGGCTACTTCTGCTGCAGCTCGTCTATAACTGTTCCCCTCTCCCAGCTTAAAATCGTGAAGCCAGTTTAGAGCAGTAACCTGATATGTTGTAAAGATGAGGACAAGGGAGTTTGCCAAAGATATGACTACAACTCCACTCTTTGGAAGGTCTCTATACAGGAAGGGTGGGAAGGGGCAGGCCCACACTAGTCCGGGGCCCCGCTGCTCCCTCTTCCTTATAAGGACAGGCCCCAGACTGGGCGGTGGCAAATTCCTATCCTTAGTAGTAGTGAGGAGGCTGGGCAGGCCTGCTGCTTGTGGAGGGGGTGTGCAAATGGATAGTACCTCACTACCAAGGCGGGAGGAAGGCTGTATTGTTTCATGGGACATCTGAGTTGGGAGAAAGATAAACAGATCTTTTAGCAGACTTGGGTGCACAGCAGGGTAGATATCCGGTTTCTGCAGCATGAACTAAGGTGGCTGGGTAGCAGACTCTGAGGTGGAGCTCTGGGTTAACCCTGTTTCCAGTGCTGATGTGCATCTAAATCCTCAGAATTCAAGGAGGCCTTCCAGCTGTTTGACAGAACAGGTGATGGCAAGATCCTGTACAGTCAGTGTGGGGACGTGATGAGGGCCCTGGGCCAGAACCCCACCAACGCCGAGGTGCTCAAGGTTCTCGGGAACCCCAAGAGTGATGGTGAGCATCCTCAACAGTTCAGTATGGCAGTGAGCCCAGTTCTTCAGCTGAGTGCTTCACTTTCTTTTCAGAGGTCCCAAAGAGATTTCCCCTTTTAGTTTTATCTCTGTAATCCTGTCCTCGTGAATTCTCTGGCCTGACACTTACTCTCCTGTGTGGCAGAGATGAATGTGAAGGTATTGGACTTTGAGCACTTTCTGCCCATGCTGCAGACTGTGGCCAAGAACAAGGACCAGGGAACCTATGAGGACTACGTTGAAGGCCTTCGAGTGTTTGATAAAGAAGGGAATGGTACTGTCATGGGTGCTGAAATCCGTCATGTCCTAGTCACACTGGGTAAGGTTCTCTGCCCTTGTATCAGAGCTAAGGCACCACCATTAGACCTTACTTCTCACCCAATTCCCAAAACGTTCCTCTGTAGGTGAGAAGATGACAGAGGAAGAAGTGGAGATGCTGGTGGCAGGGCATGAGGACAGCAATGGTTGTATCAACTATGAAGGTGAGGGATGAACTGGAGCCTTGGAGTTAGCAGTGATATAGGACATGTTATGATAGCATATAGGGCTTCCTCATCCCTGGACTTAGGCTCCAGAAAGAGGCAAAGGGCAGGGCCTAGCCCAGGGAGGGGGAGGTTGGGTGTCCCATAGAAAGGGGTAAGGGGGTTGGGAAATGGAATGCCTGTTACCCCCTGCCTGACCCCTTCACCCTATGTCTGTGTCTTGTCTTCACCATTAATGTCTCTTCCTTCCTGCAGCGTTTGTGAGGCATATCCTGTCGGGGTGACGGGCCCGAGGGGCGGGTACGGCTCCTCCAAGCCTCTCCTTCTCTAGTTGATCGCCTAGTGTTTCATTTTCTTCCCAACCTGTGCTCTCTGGCCCCTGCCCTGGGCTCCTACCACCTGACTACCTTCTGGCATGTTTCTGCATGGAGCTGGCTAGGAGGGGAGGGATTCTTTGAAGAGGAAAGCAGCTTGGGAGTATGGTACCTCCTTACTTCTCTCCTAGAGTGGGCTCTGAGGTTTTGTTTTAGGGCTGTGGGTGCTGGTGTGTGGGACTTCTCACCAGTTGAGCAGTCTTGCTTTAGGGTGGTCTTGTGGCCCTGGAGCATGGAGAGTTGGCATATGGGGGCGTGCTGCCCACCACATTCTGCTGCTGTAGCTAACCCCCTGACCATCCCCGCTGGGCAGCTTGGAGGTACCCTAACCCAAAACTTCTGTCCTCTCCTCCCGCCAGTGGCTGCCAGTAGCTTTAGGTGTAGTTAAGAATCTTTCTGCCTCTGCTGTGTTCTTGCTGCTCAGGATGGGATGGGGACTAAGAGCGGGGAGAGGGAAGCCAGTGGCAGAGAGAACTGGTCAGATCAAGGTGGCTCCTTTGCCAACTGACCCCAAGGTTGGTTGATGTAGGCATGTTCCCCCTCATGCTGCCTTCACAGTCTTGTAATCTCCTGGCCCCTGGCAAACCCCTCCCCAGCCCTGTTCCCTGGCTTATTCCACCTTTCTTTCCACAGAGCTTGTCCGGATGGTGCTGAATGGCTGAGGACATTCCAACTCCCCAGAACCCGTGCCTTGCCCGTTGAGAGATTTGTTTGTGGCCCCAGAGGCTTCTAGGTTCCCTTGCCACAGCACCTTTTCCACCTGGTCTCTTGGATGATGCCTGCCATCAGCAGTCACCAAATAAACTTGCTCTCTTTGCTCCTCTTTGGTTTTGCTTTCCTTCCTGAGTAGGGTGAAGGGGAAAGGTTAGATGCTGATGACTGAAGGCTCCTGTACAGCATTTAGGGAAAACGGGAAGCACCTCACCTACCGGAGCTGTCTTGACCCTATGTATTCATGATGCAAAAGTATCCCCTTGGGTGATCAGAAAACCCACAAATCCCTGTAGGACCAGAGCTAGCCATCTGCTTTTTGGTATGTGTGTGGAAGGGGCATCCTTTTGTTCCATCCCATATCTGGCTGAATCTTCTAAACCTCCCAAACACAGAATGCCTTTTGTGGAGAAGCTTTTGGAATATTTAGTGGCGCTAAAGCCAGGCTATATTAGCACTGCCTGATTCTGTCTGTGCTGGGGGCCAACAACAGAATTGGGTAAAAGCCTGCCTCCTCCCTAATAAGGAAAGGAATGAAGCCACTACTTCTAACAGACTTTTTTTTTTTTTTAACGGGGAGTCAAAATCTATACCTTACGCTTTCTAGGTAGGTGCTGTGCCACTGAGTTATAATCTCAGCTGAAGCCACTACTGAAAGAATAAAGACACTGAATCTCCATGTTATGGGGATGCCCTCCAAGTCCTTCCCAGATATTTTTAGGGCAGGTGAGCACCTCTGCTGCTGTAGCAGTGCATAGCCATGAGAGCTGAGCTGCCCTCAGCCTACTGTGCTGGACCCCATGGCAGGCACAGTGCCTCTCCAGCCCAGTGAATACTCTCAGTGACTCCAAGAATGCTGACCCAGCCTGATACCCCTGCCTGACAACCACAGGTAAGAGAACACAGAGGCATCCACAAGATCAAACTGAAAGCAAATTAATTTATAAAAAAAAAGGAAAAAAAGAAAGGAAAGAGAAAATTTACAGAAAACTTTGAACAGAAGGTTCCAAGACGCATAGGAAGAGAAACATGGGGACATGAGTGTTAAGGGACTGGTAGAAGGAACCAGAACTGGTATAGAATCTACAGTCCAATTTGCCTCCATGTCAAGGGTAAGGAAAGGAAGTGTAATGGGGAGGCACTGGAATATGGAGAGCACAGCCAAGCTGCCCTGCTCCCAAACCTGTGTCCTCATCTGGGGAACCCCTAAACTATCAGGTTCTGCCAGTCTTGGTGGGAGAGCAGAGGTTAGGGGAGTCACCTACTTAAGTCATGAGATATTTAAGTGCTTTTCAAAATTTTCAGGTTTTAAAAAACTCCCTGTTAACAGCTTTGCCTTCCACACCTTTTGGGAGCTCAGAGATAAAACCCAGGAAAGGGAAGAAGAATAGCCTGTTCTTCCTCTGTTAACTATCACAGGAATCCCCCCAAAGTATGTCCCCTCCCAAATACACATACGCTGACATCAACTAAGCAGATGACTTTTAAAAACAAACACAAAACTGACATTCAGAGGGAAGGGATCCTTGGTTGAGCTAGGGTGGCCTAGAACAGCAACAATGAGGAAGCAGCAGGAAAGATTAGTATGAATGGCAGAGTGGGAGAGGGGAACTGAGTCACTACCAAGAGACTTGGGAGGACAGGTTTGGTACCCTGATCCATCCCCAGAGCTTGTTCTCCCTATAACTTTATTCCACTTCCTTAAGACTGTCACCCTCCCAATTCAAAACAATGTAAAAGTTGGTTAATTTTTAGAAGGGAGCTCCAATGTAGCTTTTTAAAATTATTTCCTTTTAAAGGGCTTAATTTTTTTTATCC